TAATTTCAAGATTAAACTTAATATTTCCAATAAGCAAAATACTTTGCTGTATTTCAAAACGAATTTAAACTGATTGGAATGAGATTTTTAAATTGCTAAAGATGGCTGATTTTACCCATATTTACAATTCTCTCAGCACGGCCTAATTCTCTTTATTAAAAAAATATTTCAAAACTAAAATAATTTTTCTGAAACTTTATTTGAGGACGATTCGCTGACTTAAAGTTTAATGAATCTGATTTGAAACAAATATTACTTACTTTTAGTTAAAAAAAATATCGCAGAAATGTATTTTAAACACGAAAGCGGGTGTTTTTATGAGGCGTTAACAACTATCTAGACATATGTTTGGAATTTTTTTCTACAGGGGACATCACTGTAAAAATTACTTGACAAATATAACGTGAGCACCAGTTATTCTATTATTATTCTAAGTAGTCTAATATTCTATGGAATATGGTACTTTAGCTTTAAATTTACTATAGTTGCCGCTCTAATTTTCTGATAATGTTGTGTATGGACTTCTGTTTTTCTAAATCAGCACATTTATACAGATAAAAAAAAATTCAAAATTCGTTTTAAAATACTGGTGGTTGTTGAATAATAATAATTGCTGAATAATAATAATAATAATATAATAAGCTGTTACATTTATGGTCAATGAATATATATTTTTATTCAACAATATCACCTAACCGGTACATATTATTGGAAAATTTTAAAAGATTTAAAACTTTATAAAATAATCTAATTAATTTTCTTAGAAATTACAAATTATTCTTGTAAAAATTTTTTATTCACGAAAAAAAAACATTGTTAAGACAACAGTATCCATAATTATTTGTAATTATTTGTAAAAGCATTTAAAATATTTTCTAATTAAATAATGTCTCAGTTTTAATAGATTTCTTTCGATTCTGAGAGTCCCGTTTTACAAAACAAAATTGATGATTTAAATTCTACAAAGACTTGAGCTTATAAGTAATATAAACATTAAAATGTACAAAAATGAATTTCTCAAAATTTGATAAAATTAAATAAGCGGTGTTGGGGGTGGATTTAAAAAAATATTTTCACCAAGATTTTCTAAAATAATTTAATTCATTGGTGAATATGTCCGAAATGGCAGTTATTTGATTTTTGCAAGAATTTTCATATCAATGTGTTTTTCACCGCGAAAGACGCTAAAATCTCTTACACTAATGGTCAGATAGATAGATAGATAGATAGATAGATAGATAGATAGATAGATAGATAGATAGATAGATATAGTTTGAGAGAGATATGAACAGACTGAGATAGATAGATAGATAGATAGATAGATAGATAGATAGATAGATAGATAGATAGATAGATAGATATGAACAAATTGGCATAGATAGATAGATAGATAGATCCACTTTTGGACAGAAATATAAATGTGTACGTCAGTGTAATTTGGTGTCTATGAACGGGTGTATATGTATGTGTGCACGCAGGAAACTATGTATATCTATCTGTACGAATGATTGCCTATCTGAAAGAAAGAAAGAAAGAAAGAAAGAAAGAAAGAAAGAAAGAAAGTTTCTATTCCCTTTCCGGTTCTGTCTGATTTCAATATTATGACTTCCTAAACTTCTTAATATTCTTTATAAATCGTTTTCCTACTGACAAGTCGAAGCAGGTTTCTAAAGAAACGCACAATATGTTTCATCTCGAAAAAGCTCAAGGCATGGATAACGCTATCGATCATAACGGAACTGTTTGTTTGGAGAAAGCTGGAAAAAAAAAGTTACCATCACATTTACTCTCTGGAGAAAACTGGGTTTAATCCCCATCCAGTTCTAAATGGAAAGTCAACAGACGTACATTAGACTTCAATGATATTACACTCGCTCTGTGCCATTCCATCATTAGGTGTTTTGTCCTGTTGAAACCGAAGCATATACAGACTGGATCGCCAGCAGACTGGAAAAACACTACCAGCGAAAGGCTAGCCAACAAGTAACTATTTACCAACGACGCTGATTATAGAAAAGACTCGAATATAAACGCCGAATATTTACTTATCCCGAACCAACTCAATGGTTATAGACACTAATATAATCGACTAATATTTAACTATCCCGAACTAATTCAATGGTTATATACACTAATATAAACAACCAATATTTATCTAGCCCGAACCAATTCAGTCGTTATAGACACTAATATAAATCGACCAATATTTAACTATCCCGAACTAATTCAATGGTTATAGACACTAATATAAACAACCAATATTTAACTATCCCGAACTAATTCAATGGTTATAGACACTAATATAAACGACCAATATTTATCTAGCCCGAACCAATTCAGTCGTTATAGACACTAATATAAATCGACCAATATTTAACTATCCCGAACCAACTCAATTGTTATAGACACTAATATAAATGACCTATATTTAACCATCGCAAACCAGTTGTATAGTTAAAGACACGTATCTAAACGACGAATATTTACCTATCTTGAACCAAGAAAAGGGTTATGGCCACAGATATAAACGACCAATATATTACTATCCCGATCCAATTCAATAGTTATAGCCTCAAATATAGACGACCAATAAATACCTATCTCCAAGGAATTAAATACAGGGGGGGCGACACTATTTTTGGGACACTTTGAAAGGTGCGCTTAAAGGTGTTTTTTTGCTGCCGAGAGCTTTTCTGTTGATGAGTAGGTAGTTCAGCAGTAACTGTCGATTAATGGTATGAACATTGATTGATGGGTTTGTCTTTGGTTTCATGTTTTCTTTATTTTTACTTCAACTTAAGCGACACTATTTTTCGCAGATGACACAAATTCCGGGTTTTTAATGATTTAGTCGTCGAACGTCTACAATATGCAAATTTTCTGCAGGTAAATTGTACCCTGACCATTACCTTTACATCTTAGAGTATCTTTACCATTCGCTGCGAAAACGTATTAAAATCCTGAAGAAGAATGCATTCAAAAGAAGTCATCAGTTTCGTCCAAAAGAAGACACGGGCTCAGCATCCGAAAGATCGCCGCTGAGATGAAGCTACCGAAGTCAACAGTTGAATACATGCTAAGTACAGACTATGAGTGGAAGAAGAAGAAGAGAGGACGGAAAACACCAATTTCCAAGAGAACAGAAAGAAGAATGAAGAGGAGTGTTACGAGGTTGTTATCATCCGGAGAAAAGGTGACAGCGAAGAAAGTAAAGGAGGTGTGTGAACTTGACGTCAGTGTTCGAACTGTACACGAAATTGGACTTAAGTATGCTAAAATCAATAAAAGAATTACACTAACGAGAAAACACAAGAAGTCAAGGCTGGGAAGCACCAAAAGATGGATAACAAACCATGTCGACTTCAAGGAAGTGATATTTACTGATGAAAAACGTTTTAAGTTCGATGGACCTGACGGGTGGTGTACATGGTCGAGAAAAGGTGAACCTGTTATTCTCAACAAGAGACAGATGGGAGGAGGAGGAGTAGTCATGGTTTGGGGTATGGCATTTCCGAATGGAAACTTGTGGCTCGAGTGGTTAAAAGGACGTCAAAATAGCTTGAGCTACAGAGAACTTTTGGAAAAGAGATCCCTATCACTCATAGAAAAAGAAATGAGAAGTAATTTTATTTTGCAGCAAGATACCTGCAGCATCCATGTGGCCAAATCAGTGAAAAATTGGATGTGTGAAGCAAATATAACTACACTGGAATGGCCTGTAAGAAGTCCAGACTTAAATTTAATTGAAAACATATGGGAAATGCTTGCAGAGCTTGTTTACGACGGGCCAAAAATAACCAGAGAGGCTGAAATACAAGATGCTCAAAATAGACTGCTAGAAACACGTAGAGACGTTATTATCAATATGTACGAACATTATGAAGATAGACTGATAGAAGTCATTGAAAAAAAGGGTGCTGCCATAAACTATTAGCATTGTTTCTGCAATGTCCGAAAAATACTGTCGCCTGTGTAATGTGAAAATTTGTAAAAAAATAAAAATACTTCTAATTTGAATTCTGCTTTTCCATTTGTAGTATTGAAACAGTTTTTAAATGTTATTGCCATTACACTAAAACAGTACAGACTGCCTGTGCTACCTAAAACTTGAAAAAATAAAGTGTCTGAAAAATAGTGACGGCCCCCTGTAGTTATAACCTCAAAATCGCAGTATTTACCTACTCTCAAGCCAAGTAAGGCTTATGGCATGAAATATTGGCATGAAATATGATCGACCAATACGTACCAGTGCAAGGGTACGTTTACAACCTCAGTTATCAACACTCAATATTTACCTCTTCACGAACCCAGTAAAGTCTTATAAGCTCGGAAATAATAATAATAATAATAATAACAACATATTTTTTTAAGTATTAAATAACTTCAATAAATGTTGGAATGTCGTAAAAGCAAACATTCGATTTAGTTGCTAAATTAAATGTAAATAAATAAAATAATCTATGTGGTTATATTCTAGTTGCGTTCCCTCATTAATTAGTTAGTGGGGTCGCATAAATTTTCGTCTTCAAAAGCCAAATTCTTGAGACTAAGGTAGAGCTAAAAGAACGAGTCGTAGACAGAAAAACACATTGGTAAGCTGCGCGTGGAATTTAAGTTATACCAAATCTGGACAATGAGTAATCATTATGTTTTTTTCTTCTGACAAGTGTAGTTGGTACCAGTCATGGTTTACAGAAGGTATCTATTGTCAGTCTTTAAGTTAAAATGCTTCGTTCAGAGAAAAGAGTTCTCGTTTGACTAATCGAAAAAAGTTTAGTACTCCATCATGATAACGCATGACCCCATGCAAAAAAAAAATATTGAAGAATTCTAGTGTACAAGAATCCCAAACCACCCATCTTCTCCCGTTTTGAATTCAATTAATTACCAACTATTCCGGAGTTCATAGAACCATATTGATGGACGCGTTCTTCAAAACAAAGGTAACAAAAGATATTTTCTCTATGTTCTCCAAAAGCATAACTTCCTTACGGACATATACCGTTAAAACACAGGTTCCCGTACGAAGTTAAGCAACATCGATCCTTGTCAGTATTTAGATGGGTGACCTTTTGGGAATACCAGGTGCTGTATGATTGAAGATGCAGCTGATGCAATGGATAATGTCTTGGGGTTTGTTAATCAGAGATACGATTTTCGATTTCAGTTCGTTATATTAACTTACGCGTAAATACACTTGGGAAAGTTATGAATCCACCTCTTCTATCTACCTATGGGTTAATTAGTAAAACTTGTATCACTGAAACAGTATCTGCAAAAAAAAAAAAAACATTCTTACAATATATAATCTTCTTTGTATAATTACTGTATTCCTTTTCTAACCGTATGTAGGCGGTTTTCTCCCAGTATATGCTCGGCATTTTTCTAACATCCTTGCCAGACAAATCAAGCTTACCAAGCAGTTCAAACAGTTCAGACAATAAATAATGATATATTTTCAATATAGTCTTCTTATTACTTGTGTGCATGGAATATTATATAAATTAATATGTAATAAGTAACTGTCAGTCTACGAACATATAGATCCATACACGTATCCGTCTATTATCCGTCATGAGCAATCATGGCACGCCAAGACGTCATAACCCTTTTGGCGTTTAAGAGTTTGCCCAGGCTCCTTCTCCCAGTTGCGCTATCCATTCGCATCGTCAAGTACATAGCTCGCTATTTTACCCCTCGCTATAAGTTTGCCCTTACTTAGCGCTCGCCCTAATCTTTCGAAGTTTCAGTTTTCCAAGTTCACATTTTTCAGTATAATGTCCAAGAAGTTTCAATTTTCTCTTTCCGATTCTGTGTCTAAGTGTTCTGTTTGTTGCCATTTTCTTTAACACATACTCGCTCTATCCATAGAATTCTCAGTATACTGAGGAGAATATTAAAGTCATCAGCGTTCTAGTGGCATTAGCGCCTTGCTTGTAATTGTAAAAATAGTATCAAGTATAAAGACTTTTAAGAATAATTTCATTTTAGACTGATACACAATATGAAATATTTCTCGCAGAAATCTGGTATTACCAATTCCATGAATCTTCCAGATTTCTTTTGTTTTTCTCAGAAATCATTTCTAGGCTTTAATTTGGGACTTTCTGATGACTTCAATATTCTACTCTTCAATATATTTACACTCGTTTAGTAATTGGTCCGGTGGTGTTCTCCAACGTGATATGACGCCCTGCTGACTTTAATATTCTTCTCTTCGATATATTTACAGTCGCTTATCAATTGGACCAGTGATGTTGTCCAACGTGATATGACGCCCTGATGACTTTAATATTCTTGTCTTCGATATGTTTACACTCGTTTAGTAATTGGACCGGAGGTGTTGTCCAAAGTGATATGACGCGCTGGTTGGAGAGATGCTTGTATTGAAAGAATATCACACTGCTTTTCTAAGTTTAGTTACACATTCGTGTTTACTCTGTCATTTAGCCTTAATCCAAAAGGCCTCGAAAGGGAATGTCACACAAACCATGACACTTTGCACACCAAACAAAACACTTCTTTCACCGTTTATTATATTTTCAATATCAAATAGAATATCCACCTTCAGGTTCAACTGATCTTAACTGCTGAGATAAACTTTAAACCAATACTCACCCTTTCAAATAACCAGTGTTTCTGCATATTCAAGTCTGGACACCAGGATCACCAGGCCTAACACCACCAGACTTCTTCTTGTGGAGTGTATAGAAACATCTCGTTTACAATGTAACGGGAGAGAGCTATAGAAGAAAGAATTATACTCCCATTTGTATTTCCCCTATTATGGGCATTATTATATTTGTGTTATAAGTATACCAGAATTCATGGACCGAATGGAATGGCTGAAAAGAAAGTGAATGACAAATATGCTTTGTACTCACAGGAACGTTTATACTACTGAGATATACACAAAGTCATATACACATGTGTCACACTCTGGAATAATACATCACACATATATACACAGCAAATCAGAGTGTAATGGTAAAAAAGGAATGGTCTTACAAATAATATGGAGATACTACTGTGTCTGGGGAAGCCATTTTCACGATTCGAGATTCAAACGGACCGGATTCATCTATGTCCCAGCCGAGGACGTATTACACGAACGGGAAACAGCGAGTCTTGGGTTTTCCCAAATTGAGAAATTCGAACTGAAGTTTCTTTCTAAACATAGGAAAGATATATTCCCAAACGGAACCGGCAACATGAACTTGTAAGCTGCTGGGGAGGAAGATTTAGCCACTGCCTGGACAATGAGGAGCCCGGGCTAAGGAAAGCAACCTCTCGTTTGAAGTGAATTTGGCTGTATTGAGTGACGTCACTAAGCGGTTGTCATGTCACGAACGAAGATAAGCGCCTTCTGTTTCTGAAACCGAAAACAATTCCTGAATCAAAATAAGAAATTTCTGACAAATTTTCTGAAATTGATATATAATTCTGTCAAATGTTTTGCAGAAGTCTTTCTTTCAGAGTTCAACATGGTATTGAACATGAAGGGGTGTATTTTGAATTTCATAAATAGTTTGTCCATCATAAAAAATCATGTTCTTTATTCTTTAAATATGATATGTTTATTAATTCGAGCTTTCAATTCAAATACCTTTAATTGTCGAGACATGTATAAGGTGACTTACCTCCTAAGAGTGATTAACTTTTATTTGCTTTGAAATTCCTACCGCAATATTCAAGGGTTTATACATAACATATCTTTTAATTACTCTGTCCTCCCTAAAGCTTGCCTCACATCGTCGATTGGCATTTACAATGTTCTAACGTACCAATTATTTCGAAATTGCATTTAAAGACATGACATCGGTAATTATCGTGGCGATTTGCTATCGAAGGTCTTGAGGCATTTTGATGGGTTTCGATATCCCAAGGGGCTTATGCAATACGGAAAACATTGCTACTTAACATTGTTTTTTTTTTGTTTTTTGTTTTTTGGGTTTTTTTTTTTTATTTATGTACTTTGGCGTCCCGTGGCACGTAAGGCCTCTTAGAGAGGTTTCTACAATCGAATTGTTCCACATCGTGATATGTTTTCCCCCACTCCCAATATCGCTATTCTCAGAAAAAATTTCATTGCTAACGGTTTTCTTTCTTTAGATGGCCACGTGTTTCCCACGATAACGGGTTTCATCGCACGGATTATCAAGTTCAGTTTTACTTCTTCTGGACTGGTTGCCACCCAAGGGTGAACGCCCCAATCTGACCCACTATTTAACTCGGAACTGGTGTTAAAAGAAATTGACTCCTACATTTTCTAAAGGCATTTACGTGAAAGTGAATGCAACGAACTCGATTGGTATTCGAACTCTGTTCACCGATTCCTTTCTGAGTTACTAACTATATATCATTTATGGAGGTTGGTGTTGCCAGAATGTGACAAAACAAAGCCATTCTTTTGTTTTGTCCTCTGTATTTTTATTCAGGATATTCAATTATCCAATATATATTTATTCAAATAGAGATTTTCTTGAGTAATTTTTTTTTGGCATAACTACTTTCAATAAAAGCTTTGTTTTCTTTTCATATATTACGTACGAAGGAAAGTGTGTATATACCGACATCTATGATTTCTATTAATTTCCAAATATTGGAGCAGACGTTATTATCTTATTTTTGCTGGGACTAATTGTATATATAGTCCTTTACTTTACCCATGGATTTAGTCAAAATATAAACTTCCATTCTTAGACGTTCTCGTAGAATTCAGTAATAACACATTCACCACTTTATTTTACAAAAAAAAAAGTAGCATTTCGTAAAATATATCCATTGGATGCTTTAGTACACATCATCAGTGATGTTTCTAGCCGAGGTTCATTAGGGGTTTCGAGTCTTTCACCATCATATCTCATCTCCGCGGTGACCCAACCGATACTTATAGGGTATAGACTTATGTATCTTCCGTTAGTAACAATTTTTCTAATCAATTTTAGAACATTTGTGGAGTATTCATAATTAATTTTATTAAGGTTTGGTTTCAATATTTTTATATAGATAGCTTCGCTAATTTTTAGTTTATATGTATTCTTTTCGTGAATATATATATATATATATATATATATATATATATATATGTGTGTGTGTGTGTGTGTGTGTGTGTGTGTGCTTTGATAAATCCTCAGAGGACAAAAACGCGTCGACAAAGAATAGTTTTACACTTGTCTTTTTATTCTTATATATATATATATATATATATATATATATATATATATATATATATATATATATATATACAGTGCTGTTCGATAAAAAAGTGACTCACCTGATTTTTTTTTTTTTTTAATAAATGCTCTCATCTTCTATGAAACGAAAGTTGAGCTAAATTCAAAGGATAAGCAAACTAAAATCCGAAGAAGAAGCTTTGAAAGCTCTTTGAATTTAGCAGTAAGTACTGTCAAGCATCCATTCAGTATAATGTTCTGGTGATGCTTTTCTTTTCATGGAACTAATTTCTTGAAACTTATTGAAAAAAAAAACCTCAGGAGCGAGCGGTAAAAGAGAATTTTAGAGTCTTGTCTGCTCCCTTCTGCTGAAAGGGTTCAAATCGACCCCACCAAGCTCATTTTTATGCAGGATAATGCTCCCTGTCACAAATAAAAATTGATGAAGGAATACTTTGATGAGAAGCAGGTGAGTGTTATGACATGGCCGCCCCAAGCTCCTGACCTCAACCCCATAGAAAACTTATGGAGCATTATAAAGTACAGGCTCTTTAGAAAGCATTGAGCAACATGCTGATGGAGCATGTTGTCACCTGAGGTCAGAAGGTTGTCATAACGCTCACCTGCTTCTCATCAAAGTATTCCTTCATCAACTTTTATTTGTGACAGTAAAACTTTTTGATATGAAGGCAAGAACTTAAGATTTCAGATTTCTGGTTTAAAAGATTTTTGGGGTCTAGAAAAGTCATGTTCGCTTATTTCTCATGTTGACATAGGTCGCAAATGCGGGTATGATTGCTGCATGTTTTTTTTTCTTTTCTTTTTTTGAAATTTTCCACCTTACGAACGGGTCTTTGTTAGGTTTGGTGGAGTATCAAAGATTTGCTAGCTTAAATGAAGATCTACGATTATACCATC